AGAAATATGCATGGAATGGCATCATCGTCAGCAATTTTGGATGTTACTGGTACGTTACAAAATTCTCAAATCATAAAATAACTCTGCTCAAAATTGTTTTTGCCATAAGTGTTCTTTCATATCGTTGTAATAATCTGAATTTGCAGTTCCTCATTTGGACAACATCAAATTCGATGGCGCAACGGATGTCACTCCGTACCTTACTGAGGAGTACGGTTTCAAGAAAATCAACTATGCTAGTGAGTTTCTGTTTTTGATCTTCGTTTTTTTTTCTTCTCAAAAATTGGTTTGTTGGTGTTAATCGATTATGATATTACGAAAAATTTCGTTGTTCGGTTTTTTTGCAGACGTAACATGAAATTTTGAAATGGAAATAAGATCAAGAGTTTGATGGAGGCCTTGTTTTTTTGCAATTTTTTTCAAAAGTTTATTTTTTTAGGCTTGCCCACCCCACCTGACCGAGGTCCATTCATCAAAGAAGTTACCGGTCACTACCTCACCTTGTCATGGATCCCAACGAAACGAGCGCCACCACGGTATCCTCAAGTGTCTTACGTCATTGAAATCAGGGAACTTCCAGAAAAAGAATGGACGTTGGTAAGTACAAATTTTAGTGTGTTTTTCCTCTTTTTGCTGCTGCAAGGCTCGAAGTATTTAAATATGTTATTTTCTATTTAGCTTGACTATAACATTCCGGAACCTGTATGCAAGGTTCGAAATCTTGAACTAGGCAAATCATATCAGTTCCGAGTACGAGCTGAGAATATCTATGGCATCTCTGATCCATCACCGGCATCTCCGCCGTCTAGGTAAATTCTAGCATTTTTTAGAATTTTTCAACGATATTGATACTTTACTATTAAGGTTGATGGCTCCACCTCAACCAGTACTTGATAAGAAGACTAAGAAAATCATACCGCTGCTGGACCCCTATGCCGAAAAGGCTTTGGATTTGGCGCATGCCGAGCAATACGGTAAGTGTCGTTGTTAATTTTCTGGCTACTAAAAAAATTTTTGCAGCTTGTGCCCCATGGTTCGCGCCTGGAGTCATTGAAAAGCGGTATTGTGCTGAAAATGATGTGCTACAATTGACGCTGAACGTCTCTGGATATCCTGATCCGGAGATCAAGTGGAAATTCAGGGGTAGAAAAATCAATAATTGATTGGAAGTTATGAGATTTAAGTTATGTTATTCAGGATGGGATATTGATACTACAAGTGCAATGTCTCAATGTAAGGTATATACGATCGGCGGTACCGAGACGACTTTGTTGATCAACTCCTTCACAAAGGTATACAATTTTCATAAGTATGAATAACAAAGATTTTGAATTTTTTTCAACACAATAAGTTTTTTTGCTTCAAAAAAGGAGATTCCATTTCATGGGATGTACATGGACCGCAGTGTATAGATTGTGTGCGCTTAGAAATTGTTCGAAAAAAATTTCAACTGTTTCCCTTGA